GGTCAAGGGTCTGTTAGGACCAACAGGGTATAGGAGATGCTGACCCAGAGGACTGCTGAAGGGCACATACGCCCAGGCCAGCCTATTCCACACTCTTGTCCCTGTGAGACCAAGGAGGGGACCCACCAGCACAGGACCAGAGACTGACAGGCCCAGAGGCTAGCCCAGCACACAAGCCTGGAGTCGCCTCCTGAGGGCATCCGCAGATCCTGGAGATGCTGCATCTTCAGTCTCCATCCCACTATGGCCTGGGAGTGTCCCAGGATAGATGCCCAGGAGGTTACCTACATCTGATCACTGATGAGCCACCTCAGTCTGCAGTTACCTCTTACTGAATGTGTCCTAGAATGGCTCCATGTGTGACTTTCTCACAGTGGTTTGTATGCTGTGTACCACATTTGCATTTCCAGGCATTTCTTTTGAAGTTGGTGGGCAGCCCTGACATTCAGCACACATACCGCCTGCCCTCTGCACATTAGTCAGACATACCACCTGGGCCATTCATCACAGAGACCTAGGCTGTGCTTCTGGTTCTGCTGGCCAGGTCCCATGCCAGTCCTCTGCTCACCAGCTGTCCATCTCCTACACCCCCTCCAGCCCCAGCACAAATCCACCCGTCCACAAAACCTGACTCCATCCCTCCCACCCTGAGGGTCCCTCCTGCCTGTGGACTCAGCTCTGGACAGCTATGCTGTACGCCTTTGACATGTCACAGCCACCTCTGATAGATACTGTTTCCAATAAAGTGTCCTGGGCCCCCTCTGCTGCTTTCTATTGTCATCCAATGTGTTAGATAAGTGTCAGCATGTGCTGAGCCCAGCAATGAATGAATGAATGAGCAAACTGAGCCTTCCAGCCCATTTGTGCTAAAGGCTGGAGAGAAGACAATGAGTCCAGCATAGAGCATATGGCTCCTGTTACAAGATTTGGAGGCCCCAGTTGTACATGGGTGGGGCTTATGGGCAGTAGGTGGAAATGGGGTACAGGGACTCACAGTGTGGTTGTGTTCTCATAGCAAACACACTGTTTTCAGCGGTACTGTAAATTTTCTGGAACTGATGGAAACTTGAGGGGACCAGGACCCCCAGGCCTCCCCAGAAACCACCGCAAGGAGCAGCCACCATGGGGGTCAGACAGAACCATCCACAGTGGAGCATAACTTCATTCTGCTTTTCAGGAGCCTGCCTGTATTTTTCTCTAGCTGTGCTAATGTTTGTTTCATGCTGCCTAATAGTAATTATAAAATAAAATTTCTATTCATGTCCTCAAACCCCAATGGCTTTGGAGAGGATCTAGAGGCACAAATGGAAACAAAGAGAAGCAGATAAAGTAGGCAGACAGTGATGATGCAGCCCTGAGATAGTGAGGGAATGGGCAAGGGTGAGATGGAGACAGAGCCCGGCGGAGGTGGCCGGAGGAGCAAGGTGCTGGCATGAGGCCCCTTCACCAGCCTCCTATCCCAGGTGTGCTTCTGACCTCACAGGACTGGCAGGAGCAGTTCCTACCATGGCCTATAGATCTACAGTCTCAGAATCATAATTACTGTGCTAAGGTAGGTGGATTGTGGGTATTTTCCCCCTTTCTCACTCACTTGTTCATTCATTCCACTGTGCTAACGAGGTGGCTGCCGGGGTGAGGAGTTCAGCATCCGAAGATGGAGGGAGACTATGGACAGAGTACACTGAAAGCTGTGACTGGGGGAGCAGAACACAGTGCCACAACCACTGGTTCCAAAGCCAAGCCGCCTGGGTCTGACTCCCAGCTTGGCTTACCCACCAGCTGACAGCTCTGGGCAGTGGCCCTGAGCTCTCTGTGCCTCGATGCCCCCAGAACTATGAGATCTCTTGCAGGAATCTTGTAAAATTGAATGAATCAATATTTGGGAAGCTTTTAAAACAGCGCCTGGCATGTAATGAGACCAGAAGAGAAGTGCTTGTTCAAAAAAAAAAAAAAAAAAAAAAAGAAAGACCTAATTTAGGATGATTAGGGAAGGCCTTCCAGAAAAAAATGACATTTAAAACAGAAACATGAAGCACAACAAAGTGGCAGTTTATCTAATCTAAACTCTCCATAATGTGATTTCTTTTTATAACTCCAAAAAAAATTTTATATTTTTAAAATGTTCACTTTTGAGTATTTTTGAGTCTTGGGGATGACTCTACATACTGTCACACTGCCACACCATCTAACTCACCTGGTTTGGTTGCCAAAGGTGACCACCCATTTGCTAGGGGTGTGACTGCAGCCCAGAGAACAGAGCTCTCTGTGGGAAGCTCGGAGCTTCGGCAAACCCTCGGTTCTGGCCTCCGGGGTCTTGTTCTCCGTTTGATGAGATTACCACCAGCTGTCCAGTGCAGAAGCCAGGCAGCGGGAGAGGAAGAGGGACAGAGAGACGGCCACTCTCCTCTGCGGGCTACAAGGGACAGCAAGACTAGCAGGTGAAGCCGGATGTGCACCGCTCCCTCCGACTCTCGCCCTGGGGCGCCTCATGAGAGCTCCCCTGATACCAGTGCCCTGTGGCTTTTCCTTCCCCATTGCCTCTTAAAGTGACCCTCAGAAGTACTAATTAGAATCCTGACCACGGGACTATTAGAATCTTCCCAAGTTATGAATGTACACAACAGGGGCCTTCTGCAGGCAGGCTGCAGGAGGCAATACTTAGGGGTAGGGAACTCTCTGAAAATCCTTCTAATAAACCTGAGCCCAGCCTTCTCCCTTCTGGAGTCACTAGGCCCATGCTCCTTCCTCGGTGTTCCCCCTGCCAGGAGCAGCACCTCAGGCCTGGAAGGCACCCTGCTCCAGGAAGTCCCCAGGCATGGGAGAGAAGATGCTCTCAAAGCACAGCTGAGTCAAACTCAGCTTCCCAGTGATCTGGTTTGTCAACACTGGGAGGGTGATGGCCACCCATCATCTGGGCCACAAGCCCCTTCACCCTCAGGTGCCCTGGCAGGCTGGGCTTCAGGTGGGCCAGGCTTAGGTCTGGAAGAGTCAGGAATCTGAGAAAGGGGCCCCTGGCTTGCCCAGGGTAGCTGGGCAGGCCTGAGAGGAGACTTGCTTAGTTTGGGACCACGGCCCTGGGAACAGGCTATTTGGGCCTGCCATCTCTTCCACCCCAGGCTCTGTCTGGGGGACTGGGCTCTGCCCAACTTCACCCAAGGCAATGTGCCCCTCTCTAAGTCCGAGGACACAGAACTGCCCACACCTGTCACCTTGGCAGCAGAGGCAGAGCTACAGTTTGACTTGTCCCTGAGATCTTTGCACCCATCTTGCAGGTGGAGAAATGGAAGCCGAAAACTGTTCATTGGCTTGCTCAGATTGACTTAGAAGCCTGAGATACAATCCCAGTTGCTGCCTCCTGCTACGGGCTCTGACCCTTTCTGGAAGTAGTTTGCTTGTGTGTCCATGCCCAGGGCGTTGAGAGGGGTCTGGCAGCGCAGGAGGTAGGGGTGTGTCCTGCCTGAGCGCCGGAAGATGTTCCTGCTGAGCAAGTACAGGGCCATGCTAGATGCCTGCTCGCCTTCCAGAAGTGGGCCTACTTCCTCCAGGTGCCCTCGGGCACTGCTGCTCAGTACCTACACTAGGATCTTCCCCAAGGCGAAGAGGTTCCTCCGCCTCCTGGCTCAGGGTCATGGGGAACAGAGGAGGGAGGCCACCCTGCAAGTTCCCTGCATGAGCACTCCAGGCCGAGGGGTCTCTGCCGTAGCTGGTTCCCAGGGGGCTCAGTGCTGACAGGGCTCACTGGGACCATTCTCATCACTAAGAAATCTGACTTCTTAGAAGCCCATTAGGCCTTAGCAAGGGATAGGCTCCCCTCAGAAGTCTCTGCTTCAGTGTCCTCTCTATCACTGGTCACCTCTCTGGGGCCTCGGTTTAGTGTGATGCCGACTGGGGCTCCAGGCAGAGGGACGGGAAGTGCAGAGGGTGGACAGAGCCTGTTGCAACTGGGCTATAACTGTGTTCTCGGACCACTGAGGAGAGCTGACAGTTACCCCGGCCAGCCACTGACAGGGCTTCAGGTTCCCACAGCTCCTGTGGCCAAGGGGTTCAGACTGGGACACTAGTTAGCCATCTTGGTGCCCTGCCTGGGTCCCAGAGACCACGCACCTGGTGGTGGGGATGCTGCTCCATCAGCCAGCCCCTCTGCGTCCACCGCAGGGTGCAGCACCCCTTCCTCAGCTCCAGCCTGGGGACAGGGTCTTTGGCTTCTTTGCCACACCCCCACAGGCTGGCCTCAGGAACCCAGCCTCTCTCTTCATTTACCATAACAATAGGCTCCTCAGGGACCACCACTCCCACACAAGCAGCTGGACCACACCCAGCTGTTTATCTCCCAGGCGATGAAAAGGAAAGCAACAAGGCCCCCACCCCTCCCCTCCCCAGACAACAAGCCCTGCAGTCCTTCCACACACTGCCAGATGTGCAGACGCTCCCTCCGTCCCCTGGGAGAGCAGACCGCAGGGGCCTGGACATGGCTGGACAAAGCCTTGAGGCACACAATCTAGGAAAGACCTGGTGTGGAGAGCTCTATTGAACACAGAGTCCCAGCGCCTGCTCCACTCTCCCACCCACTCCAAGGCCTCTCTGTCCCCCATTCCTTGGCCTTGGGCCCTGCTCATTCCACTCCAAGGTCCTCCTCGGCCTCCAGTCACCACAGGGGACCGCTGCCTCCACGTTGCCCACTCCAGGGCCTTGAGTCCATTCCGTGGAGAGCCCTGCCCAGCTGTGGCCAGCCTGTGGGCCTCTTGGCCCAGGCGCGCCCTGGCCTTCTGGCAGGAAGTGCCTGCTCCGGCCCCAGCCCCCTCCTCATGGCTCCAGCTCCCGGGAGAGGCGGGAGAGTTCCCTCTGGCTGTCAATGACCTTCAGCTGCTGGACACAAGCCCAGGTGCTGGCCGGACTCCGGGTGCTCAGGGACTGCTCCGAGCCTGTTGAGCGTGGAGAGCAGTCAGGGGGGCCACTGACTCCACTGTGCTGAGCCCACCCTCTCCCCCTCCTCCAAAGAGCCCCTTGGCCTCCCTGCTCCCCACCACCCATTCTGCCTCTCGCCATGACCAGTCCAGGAGATTGTGCCCCTGTTCCCCTCCTACCCTCATCTGGGGGTGAAAAGCACAGACCCAGAAAAAAACAGGTCCCCAAGATCACATACAGTGTAAAACCCCTTTCACTAAGTGCAAAAATAATAAAAACTGATGGGTATTTTGTCATAATGTATACATTATATATGCAAAGCATTTTAAAGATATATTTGTATATATTTGAACATACAAATATAAATAAATATACATGATAAGGCTCTTTTTAAAAAATAAGAAAATGAGTAGCTCCAAATTCAGGGGAGTGGTTACCATGGGTAGGGAGAGGCAAGCAGACAGGAGAAGGGACCCCACAGAGGGAGGTGTGAGTTACTGTCCATGTGCTTATTCTTGGCTTGGTCTAGGGGCGTTCATTATATCATCAGAATAGATACATACATAAAAGAAAAGGCCAGTGGCGGCGGTGTGGTAGGAACCACAGATTATGATTAATCCTGTTTCGTGCACCTGAAAGCCAGTTAGGACGATGTAGGTCTGGAGTAAGATGCCTAGGTCCCAGCACTCCTGCAGGATGCCTTCCACAAGCCACTTTACCTCAAGCCTGTCTGTGCGTCTTTACCTGGGGACATCCTCCACCTGCCCCAGGGGACTGTGCAGAGCGAGCAAGCGCCTCTAAGTGCCAGCCCGGCCAGCCACAGCACCCAGCCCGCCCCACTTACATGTGGACATCCTCACCACCTGGCGGTCCTCGTGTAAGTGGGACACACGGCTCCTGAGCGGCGAGAGGGGCACTGGGGGGGGGAGAGGGAGTCAGGGAGCAGGGCCCAGCGGGAGCCGCCGGGGTCCCGGGGCAGGGGCTCCCGCAGGGCGGAAGAACAGCTCCTCACCGCTGCTGTGGCTCCGGCAGCGCTGCACGGTTCGCACGGCTCTGGCCATCATTCTCTGCAGGCAATGTAAGGACATGAGACCGGCCCAAGGGGCAGGGCCCTGGCGTGGCCTGTGGGGCAGCTGGGGACCCAAGCTCCCTTAGACTGGTGTGCTTCTAGGGACCAGGGGCTGTAAGATGTGGGTTCATGTCTGCTCCACCCTAGCCACCCTGTGGCGGTGGGTGGAGGCAGTGGGAGGAACACGGGTCGGGAAGGGCTTAGAGAGGAAGAGGCCTGCAGAGGACTCTGGTGGCAGGAGGAGATAGTGAGGCTGTGACCCCAGTCCCCCGAAAAGACACCAGAACCACCAACATGGAGTAAGGTGGGGGCTGCTTTGAAAGAAGTACTCATATTATTAATAACTTCAGACTGTCTCTCACCCCAACCCCTCCCAAGGCCATAGTCACAACCCTAACCCGCTCTCCTTGAACTCACCATCTTCTCAAAATTGATGAGATTTTCCACCAGCGTGTGGTTTCCCTCATGGATGAAGGTCATGTCTGCAAAGAAATAGGTTTTGCTCCAAGGTCCCCAAAGTGTTTCCCGTCCTGCAGCCCAGGAAAGGTGGAGGCCAATAATGGGGAGCCACCCCCACTGCCCTCTTCCTCTGGCACCCCCGACCTCCTGGAGCAATTTTCTTATATCACTTAGGCCTCATATCATAGACTATCTAATGTCACCAATATTTGTCCTCATATCTTATCGCTGCTTCTAGCCTGTGAACTCCTGAGTCATCTTTGTGCTCCCGAGGCATCGGCACAGTGGGGTCTTGCAGGGGTTGAGTGGACACACGGGCACAGGAACGGGCAGGGCGGAGGCGGAATGTGCATGCTGCTCCCATTACCTTTGAGGAGAAGGGGCATGAAGGGGATGATGGGAGGCGAGAGCTTGGTGAGGGCCAGTCGGTACACCCGGTGGTTCCATGAGGGGTCCTGAGAAGGAAGCAGCCACAGTGAGAGAGGGAGGGTCCTGCACACCATAACCCCAACATACCCCAACACAACCAAATGCCCATCGCCTCCGAGCACAGCTTCCTCCCAGCTCAGATCACCAGGGCAGGTGTGGGGGCAGCTGGGGGGCCCAAAGTCCCTGGCCCCCAGCTAGTCCCCAGAGCAAACTTCAGGGCTCTAGTCACAGGGGCTCTGAGATTTCCCGGAAAATTTGTTCTCTCTTCTCTGTCTCTGTTTCTGTCTCTGTCTGTCTCTTTCTAGCGGTACATTCCTTTGACCTTCTTGGTCCCCACGAGGCGAGGATTCTCCTCCAGGTCTCAGAGCCATGCTGCAACAAGCACTCTGCCAGCCCTCTCACAAACGCTGCCCAACCTGCGAGGCCCCCAGAGACTCCTGGCAGTGGGGAGGGTTCATCTCCTCAAATCTTTCCTCATCTTTTGGCCCAGTGACCTGCAGGCCCCTCTCAGGGGCCACTGATAGGCCCTGACACACCAGGGGTGCGTATGCCCTGTGAGTCCTGAGGGAGGTCAACTGGAGACCACTGTCCCCTGGTGGTGCCCTGGGCAGCTCAGATTCAGGGCCAGACACCTCCTGTACCCTGTCCTGGTCCTCACACAAGACCTCAGAGCCAAAGCAAATGACCCCCATACCTACACGCCCTGAGGGACAGAATATATTGTGCCCCCAACCATAATACTGAACACCCATTCCTCAGCCAGCTCCCCAAACCCTCAGGCCAGAGGCAACCAGGCCATGGCCCAGGGTTGGGAACCCTGAATGGAGCCAAGGACAGGTAGATAGAGGGGCTGCCGGGAAGCTGGGCTCCTGGAGGGAGGACCTAAGGCCTGGCACTCACCAGCAACCTCTCGAGGGCCGAGTACAGCTTCCTGACTTTGTGGGGCAGCCTCTGTTAAAGACAGGCAGATGGAGCCATCCCTGCTCTGGGATGGAAGCCCCATCCCCAAGCAGGACTCCCAGGATGGGCGTGGGGCCTGACCTCATGAGGCCCTGGCCTCCCACTCCCGTTTGCACCTACCTCCCAAGTGTTGGCCAGGCGGCTGATGGCTGAGTTGCTGAGGCCAAACATGACAGCAAAGAAGGAATTGAGATTCTTTTGTTCCTTGAGGCTGTGAGCAGAGACCCAAGGACCCTCAGGGGAAGTGAGGCCACACCACGGATCCCTGCTCTAGACAACAGACGGGCCTGGGGCCCAGAACTAGGCCAGGTCCATGGTGCCTGCTGCCTCGTGGACAGGTAGAGACTCCAGGGCACCAAGGGAGGCAAGTGGATGGCAGATTTGGCAACAGACTGTCCAAGGGTGGGGGGTTTAAGAAAAGGCAGCCTCAGGACTCAGCCACATACCCTGCCCACCCCACAGGCACTCACTGAGCCGCCAGCTTGATGAACTTCCTGAGCAGCTGGGCTCGAGGTCCGAGCACAGGGCACAGACACAGTTCTGTGGCCACCCAGTACTGCAGCTCATTGAAGCGGCGCATGAAGCGCTCCAGGTTGGCAGTGGTGACGTCCCGCAGGTGCTGGGGGCCCAGCACATAGTGGATCAGCTCCACCTGGGTGAGGAAAGCATGAGAGGCCAGCCTGCGCCAGGTGCTGTGGAGCCCGCCACCTGCTATCATCCCCTCAGCTCTGCCACCTCACCTGGTGGATGCTGTTGAAGAGGTTCCAGTCATGGTCCGTCAGCTGGCCCGCCAGGTCCTTGGCAGTCACCAGGTCCAGCCCCTCAGCAGAGCCCACAGTGGGCCCCAGCTGCTCAGGGTGTGGAGTCTGCAGGTAGGAGAGTGCTCAGGGGGGTGCCTGGGGAATCCAGGGGAAAGGCATGGGGTGGGAGGAGAGAGTTTGGGGCAAAGCCCCTGCCTGTGGATACAGAGGTGTAGGGGAGGGCAGGGGTGCTGCAGGGAGTAGAGCGGCCTCTCTAGGATGGGCTTCCCAAGGAAGCATCTTCCTGACAGCCCCCCATTGCTGGGACAGCCCTTTGCAGGGCATCTGTCCCCTGGAGAACCACTAAGAAGGCAGGTCTTCCTCTTTCCCCTTCAGAGCTTCCAGCCAGCTCTCCCCCTCTCCCAACACCCAGTCCCTGGATCCCCCCATCAGCTGAAGCCCACTCCATCCTCTCCCCACTTAAAGCCCAGCAGCAGCCAGAGCCAGGGCCCCTCTCTACTCTCTGCAACCCCCCAGATGCGCCCCCACCACCACCGCCACTCCTAAGACATAGCTCCCGCCCGGGCCCTGGCATCCTGCCTGTCCCTACCAGCTCATGCACTTCCTGTGGGTTGACAACGAAAAGGCGCTCATTGAGACCCAGGGATGTGGCCACTCCACGGGCATCTGGCTGCAGGCCAATGGTATCTGCAAAGAGAGCAGAGGCTGCACTAGGTGGGGACAGAGAGGGAGGCCAGGCAGCAGCCAGAGGCAGGGTGGAGCAGCCAGAGGCTTGATATACATGATATGCTTGATATACATGAACGGGGATGCTTAGTGAGACAGGCGGGACTTGGGTACCACTGGGCCTCCCTGAGCCTCCATTTCCTCCTCTCTCGAGTGGAGATGATAATTGTTCTGACTACTCACAAGTCAAATGAAAGAGTTGATATAAATAGTGGCTGTAAGTAAATGATGCATATATAAAAGCCCTTTGAAAATTGGAAAATGCCTTACTGAAGTCTTGGTGCTGATTTCACCAGCTCCTATGGACTGAGACTGTTTTGAGTCATGTTTGAGTCCCCAGTCCCTAGACCAGCAGCCTCCAAAGTAAGGCACACAAGACCATCTACATGGTCAGATGAAAAATATTAGCTCTTCTACTTACATTGATTTTTTTCATGTTTTGCATTTCTATTTTGTGGGTAGCTTTAAATAATTATTTAGCAATAGTGTAGGAATATATGTGTATGACTTATAAGGGAACATGAACACAGCAGAGGGTCTGTAATAAAATATTGGTTACGAGTGCCGATCAAGAGTATCTGGCGATCAGAGCTCCCAACACTGCCTGGCACATAGCAGGGTCTCAGTAAGTACAGCTTTGGGCAACCGCAACTCTGCAGATGGCCAACAGAGGGCGGTGCTCCCAGCACTGTGCCCAGGCGCCGAGGTCTCCTCCTCTCCCCACTCACAGGAGAAGGCTTTGGTCTTCTTGCCTCCACTCCTTGCCATTATTCTCTGGATGCACCAAATTCCTGTCTGCCCTGGGCTCCAGCAGTCAAACCTGGTCTGTGTCTTTCGTGGAGAACAGTGGTTTTTAATGTCCCAGGTTCTCCAAAGGCAGGTCTTAATAATCCTCATGCGGCCATTTCTGAGCACTGACTTTGTGCCAGGCCCCTGCTGAGTGCTTGATATACATGATCTCATGTAATAGCCACAGCAGTCCTGTGTGACAGGTAGTTCTGTGCTCAGTGGACACACGAGGAAATGAAGGCTCAGACACATTAAACAATTTGCCCAGGATCACACAGCTAGTAAGCAGTGGGTTTGGGATTCCAACACAAGTCTTCGGGTCCTGTTTATGCTCTTAACCTTCAAGACACTCTGTCTTATCTGCCCTGGTACCTCAGCTCCTAGCACACTGCTGGCCCTTAGCTAAACCTCAAATATGTTTGTTGACTTACTAAATGAATGAAAACCACCTTAGTCCAAAGGCCAGCTCCATCCTCACTGAGTGCCTGGGAAGACTGCTTCCTCCCCTTGAGCTTTTGTTTTTTTGTTTGAAAATATGCTGATAATACCTATCTCATAAGAGTGTTATTAGGATTAAATTAATATATACGCAAGATAATAACAGTACGAGCTAATACCCTGTAGTGCTGTGTGCCAGACACCATTTTAAACCCTTTAATAGATTAGATAATTTAATCCTCACAGTTCCTCTGACTCTTATCATCCCATTCTACAGATAATGAAACAGTACGGAGAGCTTAAGTGTCATGCCCAAAGACACGCAGACAGTGAGCTAAAGGGCTGGATCAAATGCAGACAGCAGGCTCCAGAGCACATGCTCTTATATATGACATGAAAGCAAGAGACATCATAAACCTCCCATAAACACTGACCATCATTAACATTGATGAAAATGATAAAGATGATGATGATCTTAATTTGGAGGAGTCTAGGCATAGATCTGAGGGGACCCCCTCCCTTGGAGCTACCCTACCCAGAGACTCAACTCACCGCCTGCAGAGTTGACCTTCACGAGCACCTGCCCCTTGGTCCAGCCGCCCTCCTGGGCCAGCGCTGCCATCACCTCTCTCACTGAGGCTGTCACGGGCAACTGCAGGGTCAGCACTGAGTGGTCTGGTCGGCAGATGTCATAGGGGACTGGAGAGGAAGACCGGGCTGAGCTGTGGGAGGGGGCTGCTCAGTCCACCCACTCCAACAGGGAGAGGCAGCAACAGCTGTAGGAGGGGTCTCAAGGAGGTGGGAAGGGTGCTAAGGAGAAGCCTGGGTGCATATGCTGGGAGCAAAGCAGGAAGGAGGCCCTGAGCCGAGAGGCAGGTTCACAGAAGGCAGAGTCTGCCTGGCAGCCTGGAACAGAGACCTTGGGGAATACAGCATGACAGGCCCATCAAGGTCAAGGGTGACAACAGCAAGGTGTGGGCTGTGCCCTGGCTGGCTTGGACCACCAACCTTTGTCTCCGACTCGGATGGCACAGCTGCTGCTGGGGAGGGACTCGTCCTGGCTGGGAAGCCAGACAGGCATGTTCCTGGCCTGGGAGGGAGAGAGAGTAAGGCCTGGAGGACACAGGGGAGAGCATGTAAGGCCAGGAAGGGGCCTCTGTCACTGGGAGCACAGAGCTCACACAGCACAGCAGTGGGCTCTGCTGGCAGCATGAACCGAACCCCCCAGGATGAGGGACAGCACAGGGCTGAGAGGAAGCCTGCCACTCCAAGTGTTTTATCAACCCCTCTGACGATTACATCCAGAGCTGGGGACCCTGATCTTCTCTTCCTTTTTCTCCTTTGATTACCATTTGCTAATTTGCTCTTTGCTACATGCCAGGCTAAATGCAGGTCAACTGCCCTGTCAAACCGTACAGCCCCATCCTCCATGGGTCTCAAGCACAGTGGGCTGACGAGGCCCCCGCTGGGTAAAGGCCTCCGTGATGCAGTTCCTCTGCTCACCCTGATGGTACTTCCGATGCTCGTTCTGACTCCCTTCCTCCTGCCAGCTCCAAGTGTGGCAGGCCCCCCAAGTTCACACTCAGCCTGTGGCTCTCCCCTAGATTCCCAGGGCTCAGAGCTCTCCTCGGAGTCCTTCATCACCTCACGTACCACCTGTGTTGGCAGACTCTCAAAACCACTCTTCCATGCCTCCCGGGTCCTTCCACATCTCTGCTCCATCACCCCAAATCCAGCACGTCCCCCAGGAACCTGCATCCTGCCTCCCCGACCTGCTTCCCCACAGCTGGTCACCTTGTTCTGGGGATCTTAGAAATGGGTGTCCTTCAGCCCCTCCTCCCCAGCTGAGGCCCCCCACCAGTTCCACCAGCCCATGATGCCTCACTCCTTACCTACTGCAAAGGCCCAACTATCCTCCTCCGCCCTGGCTCCTGGGCGCCTCCCTCCCTCCTTCTCCAATCTGCCTGGCCAGAGCCAGGTTAAGCTTCCGACAAAGCTTCAAGGCCATCATTGTCCACTGGACACTGGATAAAGCACGGGTTCCTTGGCTGACTGATTCAAAACAAATTTAATCTTTTCGATCTGTAGCTCAAACCTCTTTACGGCTCGAATTGCTCTGAGTGCAAGGGCTAAACCCCTTCCTGAGGCCCACAGGACCCTGCCTGCCCCCCCAGCCTCCTCTGGTGGCCCCTCCTCCAGGTCTCCTAAAGGATGGGTTCCCTTCCCCTGTACCTGCCCGCAGCCCTCTTCTCCCCCACCTCAGACCCTCACCCTCTGCAGCTCTCAGCCCAGCAGTCGCTTCCCAGGGACACTCTCTGCCCCTGAACCTTTGTCAGCCCTTCCCCTCCCTGCACTTAGAGACCCCAGTCTTTGCCACTATGCATAATGAGATTGTTCAGGAGTTCTGTCCCTTGCTTGCCTATAAGCCCAGGAAGAGCAGAGGCGGCTCTCCCAGCCCTCTGCAGCACTGTCGGCACTAGCACAGCAATGCCACGATGGCTCCCGAGCATGTCAGGTGCTAAGCAGCATGGGAGCCCTGGGGAGACAGAGGTCAAGGCCCCTCAGCCATGACGCAAGCGTCCCAGTGCCCTGTGACAGGCACTAACAGACAACAAGCAAGCAGACAAATAAACAAGGAAGACGATTCCAAGTGGTGATAATGCTTTGAGGAAAATCAAGGGGACCTTAGAGGGGAGCAACTGGATGGGTGGGGAGTTGCCTTGGGAGGGAACCTGTCTGGGCCCTGACATTTTAGCTGAGCTCAGAAAGATGAAAAGGATCCAGGCAGGCAAAGAGCCAGAGAAAGAGAAAGCTCCAGGCCCTGATGGGAACAAGCTTCACCTATGGAAGAAGAGAAGAAAAGCCGTGGGAGCCTTCAGCAGGGAGGGGGCAGGACGTGGTGGCAGAGGCAGCTGGGTCTGCAGCACTCAGCCTCAGCCGCTGTTCCCGCCCTCTCTCCTGGCACTCCTCAAGAAATCCCACCTCCAGCCACATCTTCTTGAGGCCCTGTTTCCCCTTAGCCCCTGCCGTTCATGACACGGGCCGCTGCAGACCCTTGGGCTGGGGCCTGCCTCCTTTGGAGCCCCCACAGCTGGCCACGAAGAGCCCGGGGCATCGGAAGCCTTCGGGTATCACCCCTCACCTCCCAAGCAGAGTTGCTGACTGGCTTTCACTATGAACCACCTCCCAACGGAAGAAAGGCCCTCGGGGTGTGATGGGAGGATGTGGGGGTGACCTCAGACCTCTGTGTCCCCTGCAGGGCCTGGCCCCCCATCACAGGCAGCTCCTGCTCTTGAACACCTATCCCAGCCCCAAGGGTGTGTCTGTGCTTGGCAATGCTTCCCCTGCAGAGCCCTTCAGGGCGGGGGCTGAGGGAGGGGGACAGGGATGGGGATGGATAGGGACAGGGTGGACTCGGGGGCAGAGGAGAGAATCTGGGGCCGGACAGAGGTGGGAGGTTCAGGCAGACACCTTCATCTGAGGAGATGTATTCGCACAGCCGTTTTCCAACCTGAAACAAAGGAGGGAAGTGAGCCGGGGCCTCTACCAACAGGACTTGGCGTGGCAGTGACCCAGAGGCCTGGCTCTGGATTCCACCTGCCCCCACCAGAGGCTAGGAGCTTTGCAGCTGGTGACTGTCACCTAGAGGGGGCAACCCTGGGGCTCAAAACCCAGTCCCTGGATTCTGTGATTTCCCCAGGCCAGCAGGGGAGGGGAAAGAGTTCAAGAGAGAAACAGGGCTCCAGTGCTGCCCCAGGGGAGCACTCCCTGAGCCCCAGCTGCCCCTGTAGGAACGTCCAGGAAGGCCTAGGAAATTTGCTGAGTGGGGACAGTAGGAACTGGCACCCACAATGCTCGCTTGGTAATACATGTGCCTGAACCGGGGAGTGGGAACAGCGAGGCCCTCGGGGCAAGGGAAGGGCAAGTTGGCTCTGCGATGCGTGAGAACGGGTGACTGGCGTGAGGGCGAACAGCGAGAAGGCTGGGAAGCCAGCCAACCGATGTGAGCAGGGCTAGACGGCTCAGCAGCCGCGGCCGCGCTCGCGTGCGCACCGCAACAGGCGCTGCTCGGTGCCCTTCAGGCATGGCCACCCATTCCACCCTCCAGGCGGGGGCGGTGCTTTCCCGTCTCACAGACCGGGGCCCGAAGCCCGAGGGGGGAACGGGCGAAGGCAGCGCATCTCTAAGAGGGTGCGGCCTGGTTGTGAAGCCTCATTTCTGGCCCCACCCACAGGGGGCGCTCTGTCCCTGCGCACTGCCGGTCCCCAGACGACAGGCTGACCCAGAGCCAAGGCACCACCTGTGGTATCGCCGCCTCTCGGGCCACTGCTCCCGAAGCAGGTTGTGGAGTCGGGTGTCTCTGTTCACCAGGTCGGAGAGTTTCTGGGAGGAGCCAAGAGGCACTGAGCCAGCGGCAGCGGGTCCGCCCTGAAGCCCTGGTGCCCGGCCACACTCCCAGGTACCTGCAGGAAGCTGATGGCCACGGGGTCCGTGTGCAGTGTGGGGGCATACAGGGCCACCCACCGGCTGACCAGCCGCAGGATCTGCTGCCTCTTGTTGCAGACATAGGTGCTGCGCTCCTGCTCACCGCCTCCCGCGGGCTCCGCATGGAAGGTGGGCACCAGTCAAGGAATCCCAATATTCAGCTGGACTGCCCACCCACCTCAGGCAAAGGAGGGGCAGGACGCCCAGGCCCAGGGACAAGTGGAGCCAGGCAGGAGGCTGTTCTTTGGAGGGCTTGGCACAGCCCATAGGGGCCCCTTCTGCCTGCTCCACATGCCATCTAGTCACTCTGTAACTGAAGGATATTGGTGCAGGAGGGCAGCGCAGAGCTGGGCACTGGGCATGAAGACGCTGTGGGTCAGGAGGAAGTCGCTGAGGAAGGTCTCTGTAGGACAGGGACAGGGGGACAGCAGGGGTTTCAGAGGCCAGTCTACAGAGCACAGGTATATGCCCAGCCAGAGCATCCCCGCCTAGTCCCACATAGGCAGGAGCCAGCCACGCCTAGCCCGTGACAGCACCCCCAACCCAGCCAAGAGCACAGGAATGAGGACTTCCTGCTGACCGGCCACAGGGGCCAGTCCAGTGCCTGATGAGTTCTGCGGCAGGCGCCTAGCCCTCCCCAGGCTGTGCTTGACCACCCAGTGAGTCAGAGAGCAGACAGGATGTCTCCTACCCCTACCTGTTGGGTCATGAGCACTGGAATCAGGGCGCATGGCCTCCAACAGCAGTTCTAGGATCTTCTCTGGGGTGCCAGACATCACTGTATACCTAGCAGAAATGGCAACCCATTGTGTTTGTGCCCCCACTCCCCACATCCACAGCTGGGGCAGAAACCAATAATCAATCACCTCTCCCTTCCCTGTTTGCCAGCCCTGTCCTGCCTTGGGGTGGAGAGGAGGCTGGCTTAGGGGTGTACCTTAGTCCCTGAATGCCTTTGCCCCCATAGGAGGCCAACAGGCCTCAGTATGACATGGGGGAAGGGAGTAAAGCCTGTAAAGTGGAAGGAGAGAAACTGGGCAAGAGCATGGCAAGGGGGTGTGGTGGGTGTGTTACCGGCTCCTGCCCGGGGCTGGGGGCCGAGGAGGTCCGGCGCCCTGAGAGGCTCGCTCTAGCACCAGCACCACCTTCCCGTGTTCTTCCAGCCTCATGGTCTTTGCTTCCACGTCCTGGAAAACAGGCCACACCCATGCTCAGCAGACACCCAGGCTCGCCCCCCATGCTAACATCTCTCCCTCCACCCCTTCCATTCCAGGCCTTGAGCCTCAGAAGGCTTCCACAAGAACCCTCGGCCCTTTTCCCACCCCATTCAATGCCCACGACCTTGGATCTGCCCCTCACGCTCCCCTGCCCATCTTACAGCCTGAGCCCATCCTCCACCCGTCCCTCCCCGGCCTCTCTCCATAGATCCCTCTCCATTACACTGCCTTTCCTTGCACCCCAGCCCCCCAGCCCCCAACTACTCCCTGGTCTCCTGCACCAAGCTGGCGGTGATGAGTCTCCCTGAACATCCTCAGCATGCCAAGGGCCTCATCACACACCCAGGGCTGTGCCCCCACCTCCAGTCATCACGTCCATTTTCTACCTATCCCTGCTCCTCCCAGGTTCTCTGGACCTGCCTCACAACACTTCTCCAGAGAAGTGTCCCTGCCTGGTCCACTGCCCTCCCCACCCTCAGTAATGGCACCTTGATGATCCGGTTGAAGTCCTGTTTGTCCACACGGAGAAAATGACAGTTGTCTTCTCGCAGGATGATGGTGGCTGCCCGAGGTGCATCGTTCACCAGAGCCAGCTGTCCAAAGTCGTCTCCCTCATGCAGCGTGGTCACAAGCCCCTGCAGCCGGACGTCAGCCCTCACCAGGACAGACCCGCCACGGGGAGAGTGGCCAAGGCAGGGAAGGCCTGGGAGGTCCCCAAGGCCCTGCCCATGAGCACGTGGACAGGGACCAGTCAAATGCAGGGGCTGGGAGGCAGCAGGACTCACCCTGCCATGGGTCACCACGTTGACAGACCCCTTCCAGATGATGTACCATGAGGTGCCCTTGTCCCCCTGGCTAAACACTGAGAGAAGCACAGATCAGACATGCACCTGCCACTTCTCCATGGCCTCTGCCCATGCCCAGGCCCCCTATGCCCAGCTTGCTGTCCCCTGTCTGACTTACACACTGTCCCCGCCTTGCTGTGTGGCTCAAAGAGCAGAACTGCAGCTAATTCTCGCTTCACCTGTGGGGGCAGGCAGAGGTCAGTGGGGAGAGTCCAGGGGAACAGGGGCCAGGCTAGGGGTGAGGAAGTTGGGTCTGAAAACAAGAGAGCTTGGGGCAGAGATGTGGCTAGATCAGGTGGTTCGAGATTCAGCAGCAGACAAACCAGGAGGGGCAAAGAGGCTAAGAGAGGCAGAGGATTTTCAGATGAGGATGCTGGAGGCAAGAAATTGATGGAAATTCCCAAATTTGTCCTCTGGTTGAGCAGCTGGGACCTCAGGCTGGTCATGGGGAGAGGGTCCAGGGGCAGGGGCGGGGCCAGGTGGACTGACCGAGTTAGAGAGGTGGGCCACGGCCTTGATGTGCAGCAGCTCCTCGAAGATGAGGTCCAGCTCCTCATCCGTGCGCTGACCTGGGCTGCGGGCACAAGAGGGCCAGGAAGCAAATGATGAATTGTGGGTCAGAGGCCAGGCGTGGGGAACCACTTCACCCACAAGCCCGGGCCTGGGGCCAGCCGGTGCCTCAGCAATGATCGTTACCAATAGTGGGCTGACCTTTACTGAGTGAACACTGTGCACGACATACTGGCTAAGTGCTTCACACAGATTATTTCAATCTACTCTTATGACAGCCCTGTGACACAGGTACTATCCTCCTCCTGTGACAGAAGAGAAAGCTGCCATGGAGAAGCCCAAGGTCACCCAGCTGGCAACCAGTGGAACCTGAATTTGAACCCAGACTTGCCTGCAGACTCCAAAGCCCACTACCCTCTCACTGCTGTGCCTCAGAATGGGCAGGCGCTTCAGAGGCCATATGCCCCACACCCTTGGTCACAGAGAAAGAAACAGGTTCGGTAGGGGAAAGAGGCCTCAAGATCATGCAGCAAGTCTATGGCAGAATGCAAACCGGAGTTCAGGCATCTGGTCCAGCCAGGGTCCTTTCCCTCAGCGAGAAGTAAGGGAACTCCTCAGAGATGAAACTGAGAAACTAGAGTCTGAGGGCCATGCGGGACCAGGAAATGCAGGGTAAGGGTGCTCCACTCACAGCTTTCGAAGTGCCACAGTGAGCAGGGCATCAGGACCCCGCTGGGAGAGCAGGGCCATAGCCTCAACAAGCTCCTCCTCCAGCTCATGGACTCCTGCAGGCTCTGGCTCTGGCCCAGGGAAACGGTAGAACTGGGTGTCTCGGTCCTGGAAGGTCCAGTCGTGTTTCACTAGGGAGCAGAGGCAATTGAGGCCATATGGGTATGAGGCCCCACTGCCATGTCCGCCCCCCTCTTCACCCCAGATGCCTGCTCCCCAGGACTCCTCACCCTCAGGTGCCCACCCTGGGCTTACGCTCACCATGGCAGAGGGCCCCTTCATCCAGCAGCACCTGGCAGATCCCCACAGCTTGGCTCCGGGAATGGACCCCAAGCCCCACGGCCAAGATCCCATCCACCAGCTCCCGGCCAGAGCAGCACTGCCTACAGGAGGTGAGGGACAGGAGGAGGAAGGGGCACCGAATGTCAGGAGGTGAGGGACAGGAGGAACTCAATCAGAAAGGCGCCTTCCAGGCTAGAGGCAGGGCTTGGCCCAGATGCCTGGAATAGAGTGAAAGGGAAAGAAAACAAGGAGATGGGCAGGGAGGCAGCCGAGGCCCCACATACCGATAGAGCCTAAGATGGTACTTTCGGTCTCGGATGAGGTTTGGGCAAGTGGCCAGCAGATGTCGATGCAGCTGCTTCCCAGCCTTGAGCACTCGCTCCATGGAGGCCTAGGAGGGGAAGCAGCAGAGCTGGCTCGGACCCTGAACCCCCAGCAGCGCTGCCCCTCCAGTTCCACCCCTTGGGCTTGTACCTGTTCCAGGCTCACGCTGAAATCCAGGGACTCCTCACTGTCAGCCAGTGGCGTCTGAGGGCAGAGGGGTGGGTCTACACATTAGTGCCAGAGCTTCAGATCCACTCATGGCCCCACCCCTCCCTCATCTCCCCTCCTCCTGAGCCAGTCCCCAAAGGCATCCACTTAGATACTTACGAGCACCACTGCATGCCCCACCCCCGGCCCTGCCACCCAATCACCACACCTGTCCTCCTTCCAGACCCAAGTGCTGGGTGCCAACAGATGAGACCCCAGCTCTGCTTACTCAGGCCCAGGTACACCCAGGTGCCCGGGCGAACAGCTCTGCCAGGGAGAGGCCCATGAGATGGAAGAGCTAAACATGAGGGATAAGAAGGCCAGTGAGGGGCCAGGAAGTGAGCAGTGTGGAGGCCTGCAACTCTTGCTCCTGGGCAGTGGTCACAGGCCTGACCCCCAGCCAGGGTCCGTCTCTGACGTGGGCAAGCTGCCTACCCTCTGTGGGCCCCCATGCAGCCTGGCAGTAAAAACACAAACTGCCTTCCAATCCCTCTCCTCCATTTACTAGTGGTGTGACCCCAAATACATGATTCGACTGCTCCCTGACTCAGCTTCCTTGTCTATAAAATCTATAAAACAGTAATAATACCAATTTGTAGGCTTTGGGAAGGATTATGTGAGGTAATGTATATTGAATGTTCAAAGTGCTGTCTGGCATAGAGTTGTATGCACATGTTAGCTGTTATTACTCTCCTGGGAAGCAAAGGACAGGTGCTTGCTGAAGGCCCCTTTCCTCTCTGAGATGCTGCTAGTCCACCTGTAAGAGTGGGCTCTGGATCTTGGGTTTATGGAGAAACATTGGTTAACAAGGTTTCCCTGCCCTTAGTGCCAATTGAGCCATCCTGGACTCCTGGGCATATGCTCTGGGATGTCAGCCATGAACAGCCCTCCCCACCCTTCTTTTCCTGCCGCCTGAGAACTGGAAATTGTGGACTTCTCTCCACAGGATGCTCTATCCTCTAGGAGCCCTCCCAAAGACAGAACATCTTAGACTTTACACTCAACTCCTACATAGAATAGGATCAGATATGAAGTAGGCAGAGCAGGGCTTACCTGTCTCCTTTGACTTATGAAGCAACAAAAGTCTTGAGGTGAAGTGCCTGTGTAACTCAGTCACATACCTGGGACAGCAGGACAGCTGCGGGTAAACTCGAGTTCCTACCAGGCATGCTCACATTCTCGGTCTCACTCCACCCACCACACCTGCTGGTCCCTCTCCCTGTCCCCTTCTCTCACCAGCTCTCTCTCCTGCTTCCCCATCTGCTCTCAGACCCCTGAAGAGAATCTGGCTGGGGGGCTGGGGCGCAACCAGGCCTGGTCCCAGCACATTCCCACTGTGCCCCAGGCAGAGGCCAGAGGTCTGGCATGGGTAGCCAGGCGGAAGTCCCTAGGTGTCCCTGCCTGGGTCATGGGGCCCAGCCCAGTGCCAGATGCAGAGCCTCAAGGCTCAGTGACAGGAAATGAGGAGGAGGAGGAGGAGGAGGAAGGGCAGGGACACTACCCAGCCAGCCCCTGCGTCGGAACAAACAGTGCTGAATGCTAACGACTTCTTGTTGTTCATGTCAAACTGCACAGGGGTCCCAGTATTGCCCCAACTCCCTTTGGTGCCCACTGCCCAGGCTCCAGCACAAGCTCCTTCCTGGTATTATTCTGACCCTGGAGGGCACTTCAGGAGGGGAGGTGCCAGGTCACGTGGCCAGGCTGGTCACAGGCAAGATCCCAGATCCACAGGCCTTGCTCAAGCCATTTCCTGTCCTGCCCCAGGGAATGAGCACAAGGTCAGAGGAAGGGGGCTCTGGCCTATCAGAGCTGAGGAAGGGACCTGAAGGCATCCCTCTCATTTTGCCAAGGGAAGCGGGAGCCCAGAGAGTTGAAGTAACTCACCCAGAGTCACACAACTGCTTAGAAATTTAAGATCCTACTCAATAACTCTGCTACCAACACTAGCCCTAGAAATACATGTTTGTCTCCTATTTCACAGCTAGAGTGGAGGAGGCTCTGAGGTTATATAACCTGCCCTGAGAACTGGCAAATAGGGGCACCAGCATTCACACTGCTCCCATCTGATCCCAAAGCCCATGTTCTCGGGCACCACGCCCTCCCCTCCCCACGGCACCTCCACAGCCTCATGTTCCTGTTGCTGCCCACCACAGAAGCAGAGATGGTACAGGTTAATTCTGTCCCCACGAATACTCTGGGAGCAAGTTAGAAAACAGCAGGTTGAATGAAGTTCCATAGGTCTGCCATCATAGTCCCTCTGCGTCCCCACCATGTTCATGTGCACTGCTAGCCTCCTAGGATCAGGCGGGGGTACTATTCGGGGGCAGTGAGTGGGCAGGTGTGTGGGCTCTGCGGTGGGACACCTGGGCTCACATCTCAGTTCCTCATTCCTGGCTCATTCAGGGACCGTGGGCTGCTTATCAACCTCCCTCTGCTTCAGTCCCCTCGTCTGCAGAATGGGGCTGATGATAATAGCACCTAGCCCATGGGGTAATTATGAGGGTCAAAGGAATTAATGATGTGAAGCACTGGAGCAGAGCCTGGCTTGTAGTGACATCTTAGTGAATGTTGAGTGACTTGATTACATTTTATTACTGTATGATGGGCACCTGTTACCTGGGCTCAGTGCAGGAAAAGCTGCTGCTGACCCCATCCCTCACCTGATAACCCAGAGCATCAGCTTAGGGGTTTTCAATTGGAAAGAAATAGCAGGCCCAGGTAGGAGTGAAGGCCTTCACCCAGCACCGCCTCTCATGCCAGTACAGAAGGAGTCAGGGTGGGAAAAGGTGCCAACTAGCTTCCCTGGCAGTGGCACCACACCTGTCCAACCTTCCCTCCCTGTGGGTGTCATCGCCACACTAGCTGGACCGGCACAGAGCCAGACAGCCACGTGGTGACCCGTCAGGCCAGTTTCCTTAGGCTACCACTAGGGTCTCAGGCCAGATCAGTGCTTGGCAGTTGGGGCAAGAATGAAGTAGGTGGGGTTGCTTTGGGGTGTCAGTGTCACCATCTGCAGAAGAGAAAATACGCCAAGAGCCCAGACTTCACAGTCAGATCTCCAGAAAGCAAAGCCCAGCTTCACCCCTTAGCAACTGCATAACCCTGGACCTATCACTTTGCCTCTCTGGCCTCAGTTTTCTCATCTAGAAAATGACGTGATGACATTAGTGCCTATTCAGAGGGCTGTTGTACAGTCATTTGACATGATAAAGGTAAGGCTCTTATAGTAGTGCCTGGGGCATAAGTACCACCATTATCTGAACAGGTTGCCTAATAACACGTTTTCTGAGTTAAAGAATAGAGCCACCTCCGCAAAGGAGTCATCTGAAGGAAAGCACCCCACACTTCTCTGAGCTCCCAGGACCACAAGAGCTCATCCTGATCTTGGCCCGTCTCTAGAGAGATTGATCCCTCTTCTGGCTCCCAGACATCAGACAAGATCTTGTTCTCCTGTCATGTCTCCAAAGGGGATGTTCTTCCATCCCATTCCAGTGCCACCTTGGCCGTGGCTGGTAAGTCCTTCCAGCCTCTCAACTCAGGCCCTCCTGCTATAACCTGCTTTCATTTTCTATTGTTCTGCTCTCGTAGGAACAGAAAGTGCTGTCTTCAGATCTCACGAGGTAGATGCATTTTCCCCTTGGTTTTCTAAGAGGCAGGGATGGTCTGGATGACTCCCGGCAATAGCCTCCACCTCCTTTACAACATCCACCCTTCTCCCTGTGTGTTCACTCCCTGCCCAGCACTTGTTCCTCCTGTGAGCCCTTCCTGGGCCAAAGGTGTCACACAGAGGGGTAAGGTGCAGACTCACAGGTACCCAGAGCCTCCTAAGCACAGACGCAGTGGACCAAAACCACCCTCCCCACATTTCCCAGAGGCAGCCATTATGAGAGGGCATTGCCCCTGCCCCTAGCCCTGAAACTCTATGTTCCCTCTCATCACCAAACCTCATTTGCCTGTCCCCCCAACCTGGCAGGGGAGCAGCCTTGTTTCTGCGCCTTTGACCCCATTTACATGCCAACAACCATCACCCCACCCTTCCGGCCTCCCCAGAACACCAGCCCTTCAATTCTGGGGGGTTGGGAGAGTCAGGAGACAGCCTGGCAGCCTCCTCCACCCCCTACCAGACTTTCAATCCCAGGGGATTCTCCAGTGACCTCATGGTCCTGGCACCTGACCTTACCCCCACTCCCACCTTGCCTCTGCAGGCTGGGAAGGGGGGGGACAGGAAATGCACAAGTAATTATAGCTTGAGAGGGAAGGAGGCGGGGAGGGTTCCAGCCCACTAGCTCCAAACTGCAGCTACTGCCAGTGACCTGGAAGGGGTGGGGGCAACAGCTAAGCCCCTCAAGGGACCTGCTGCCCTGCCCCCTCCAGAGCCTCAACTTGAGCAGGACCCAGGCCCAACAGGCCTCCTATCAGGAGGACCCAGGGCAGGGAGAGATGGCCGGAGGAACTGGGCTGACACCTAGGTTCTCTCAGTTGCAGTGTGAGGAGGACCCCATCACCTTGGTGGCCTTGGTTTTCTCAACTCAGCCTCACATTTTGGTAAACATAAATGGTGGTTGGGCAAGGCAGGAGGAAGAAGGCAGAAGGTGGTGGTCATTCTACTCAATGGGACTGCTGATAAGAGATGAGCTCTCTCAAGTACATCACCTGCTCCTGCCTTCCCTCTACCCCTTTACCCAAGCACTCTCTTGGCACGCCGCTGCCCCAGGTGAGCACACATGATAGGCACACACTGAACCTCAGAATAAGGAATTCTATTAAATCTGAGTGGCTGTAAAGAGTTTCTCTGCTGACCTGCATCGTGCATGCATTATCCAGCTGCCTACCCCTCCATTCTTTCCCCCTCCTGCTCTCTCTCCTTCATTCTTGAAGCTCCAGATATGCTCTTCACTGGCAAAGGAGCTCTCATCATCTCTAATTCTCCAAACTTCTCAGAATCTGCCCCTGAGCCCCACCAAAGCCAGATGCCAAGCACTGCCCGCACAACTGCCTCACTCCCAGATACAAAAGCAGAATCAGCACAGTTTAGTTGCTCACTAAAGGAGAACATTACCACAGTGATGTATCAAGAACAGTAACCAAGCTTACCTGCCCCCCTGACTTGACCTGGCCCTCAGTATTTGACAGATGCCTCCCACCCCCATCTGGAGAACACAGAAGCACCTAGCTCAAGGCACACAGAGGTGATGGATAAAGGACAAATCCTTTTTCTCTTCCCCCCATGCCTGAATAGGGGGACTTGGGTGCCACGTGCACACAGATGCACACGGTGCGGCTGTGTGAGCCACATACACACATACTGCAGCCTAGCCGACCCCTACACTGTCTACCCCGGAGCAGCTTCTATGCCCCTAGAGTGAGCTGGGCCTCCAGCAACATGCCCAGGGGGCTGGACTGGTCTGGCCAGGTGATGGGCACTCACCCAGCGAAGCCCCTGGATGCGGCTGGGGCGCTGGTGTTCAAGCCGCAGCTGGTAGGAGCAGCTTCGGGGCCGGTGCATCCTCCTCAGCACCATGTCGAGCAGCTTCCCCTCTGGCATGACATCGGGGAGGCCACCCACTGGTGGTGCTCCCAGAGCTGAGCTGTCCTCCACAGCCAGGCCCACCTGCCAGCGACTCTCCCCTGGCCAGCCCACCTGTGATGGGGGAGGAAGGCAGGCAGCCATGGAGCTGGGGCTGGGGCTGTGCCTGGGGCAGCTGGACAGGGCCCAAATGCCCCAGGCAGATCCACTTCCTCAGAGTCTGCTGGACTGGTCAGGCGGAGGTGCTACAACCCGGCCAGGAGCCCGGGGAGGAACAAGAACCTTCACCGGCGGCCTGCCAGTCGGGCACACTCAGGGGTCTCCAGCTGGCACATGGGAGATTGAACCCTTCTTTCCCAGCTTCCTTGGACTTCTGCCCATCCCACTGCTCATATCCCTGCAGGGATCTCCACCACCTCCCAGTATGAGGCTATGGACTCACTGGATCCCCTCAGAAATGCAGCTTCACCTCAAATCTTTCTTCTCCCCTCTTCCCTCAACCCTGAACAACCCCCTCTCTCCACCCAAACTCCCCTCCCACCTCAGCTTCCTCTTGGGCTCCTCCCCGCCCCTGATCCCACCTTACCCACCTTCATGTTCCTTCCCAAGCTGGCACTGCCAGCGCAGGCTCTAGCAAAAGGTTGGGGGACCCCCGGGGAGCCCGTCTGCTCCTGGAGGGGTGCGGGCTGTAAGTCCCAGGAGAAGTGAACAGGGCCAATTCCTGGCTGGACCAGCTGCCAGGGCAGCAAGAGGCAGTGCTGGGTGGGGAGGCTCGTCTTGGTGGGTAGAGGGCTGGGGGCGTGAGGAGGGGGTCCACCCCAGCGACAATAAGCCCGGAGCCTCCGCCTCCGTCCCAGACGAAAAGATCCAGCTGGCTCCGGGCGCTGAAGCGAGGCTGCAGCCGGCACTGGTCCGGGCGGGAGCTGTCACACCCCCTGCGCTGCCCGCCCCCTTCCCCTCCTCGGGCGGGCAGAGCCGGCAGGGGGAGGCGCCCAGCCTCGAGAGCTGAGGGCATAGGGCAGGGGCCGGGGACGGGCACGGGGTGGAGCCCGGACTCAGGGCTGCGTGGGGGGCGTGCCAGAGCCTGAGCCCCGCCAAAGCCCAGGGCGCAGGAGCGGCCCTGGCTGGCGTGTTGGATCCGCAGCGGCCGGGTGTCCGGGCAGGGGCGGTGAATTACGGCACCGGCCGCCATGTGGCCGGGAGGAGAAATGCAAACAAGGAAACGGGGAAAGGGGAAGGGGTGAGTCATTACAGCCCCACCCTGGAGGGAAATCCGGGCTGGGGCCGCTTCCCGGCCGGGGGCGTCCTGCCTCCTGTTGCGGCCCAGGATCCCTATCAGCGGCGGGGACGGACTGGGCTGCTTTCCCGTGGGGAAGCCCGCTGCTGAGCCTCCCACTGTCACACACAACCCCTCCCCACTCCCAGCGCATCCCTCGGCCCTACACACACACCAGGCGCGCTGGGGGACATTGCAGCTGGGGAGGAAGGCCTGCGCTCCAGGATGGTTGGGGGCCGAGCTCTGGCTGAGCTCCGACGGAGAGCGGGTTGGAGGGAGCCGAGGCCCCACCGCGCGCTTCCTGGCGGCGGGGCGGGCGGAGGCCCGGCACCGGGATTCCTGCGTCCTGCTCAGGCCTGGGCGAAGGCCCGCCGCCTCCCTGCGCCTTTGTTTCCAACCCCGCGCAGGGGGTCCCGCGCCGCCCTTTGTGCCCCGCTCCTGCTTCTGGGAGCGTGAAGCGCCTCGCTCCCCCGGCGCCTCGTCTTTTTTTGCCCAGAACGTTAAGGAGGGTTTGGGAAGGAGTCTCACGCCCCGCCCCCAGCCTTCTAGAACTCGCTCCCTTTCTGCCCCCTTTCTCTTTGCTGCTAAGCCTGCCGGGACTGGGGGAAACATCTTACAATCTGTCCCCCTGCCCTGGGACGCCGAGCCCCCATCTTCCACAGATGATTATTTTCTTGGAGGTGGGGATATTTTAATGGCTTAAAATCTCAATTTTAATGTATACTGAAAAAAATTTTCCCAGGAACTTACAAAAATGCAAATTCCATCCTCCCCGAATTTAGAGTTCGTCCTATAAGCATGAAAACGAAAATCTGTATTTTGAACATATGTCCCAAACTTATCTGCTGGGTTCACACTTTGAGAAATGATGGTAGAATTTTAAATGGCCCTTCGGGGAAAGAAAGGAGCCTGGGAATGAATCTGGCCCCAGGCCCAAAACCAACCTACCCAAATTCTGGGAATTTGGAAGAAGGAAGAACATATGGGCAGGTGAACATGGTGGGGGGAGAGCTGAGAGGCAATTAGGGTGGGAAGGCAGGTGCGGTTTCAGATTGCTGGGGCCAATGACCTGACCTAAAAGTTCTTGCAGGGGAGTGTCTGAAGCCTGGCAGTGGGGTCAGAAAGGGTTTCCCCACTTCTATGTCTACTACTCCTACTTTGGGCAGGAGGAAAAGGAGCTGAGCAGGGAGGTGGGACATGGGCGCACCTGTAGCCCTTACAGCCCAACAGCCAGCAAGTGCCTGATGCTGTTCCAAGTGTTTCACAGGCTTTAATCTCTGCCACTACCCTGTGAAGCACTCTATTCCTGTTACTCCAACTTGACAGGTAAGCAGCAAGCTCAGGGGTACTAAGTAACCTGCCAAGGTCCCACAGTTAGTAAATGCTGGGGTTGTGGCTTGAATCCAGGTTGCCTGGCTCCACTTTAACCCATGCTATACTTCCTTGCATATACATCATTCATTCTTCTAATCTGGACCTTATGCCTAAGAGAGGAAGCTATGGAAAAGGGAATGCATGTGAGTGTGTGTGTGTGTGTGTGTGTGTGTGTGTGTGCGTGTGTGTGTCTCGGGGGGAGGGCAACGACCCAATGAAAGTCATTCGAGACTGAGAAGATGGCCTGGGATGACTACCTGTTCACTGGTAGCCAGAGGAGACCAAAGGGCTTGGACCTTCCATTTGTCTCACTCTTACTACTGACACGCAACCCCACCTCCCAACTTCTGCTGAGGCAGAGGATGGGGCAGGTTTTTCTTCTCAGGACTCCTAGGTGGGAACTGGCCAGTGGAATGACTGCTCAGTAGATAGTTGATGGAGGCTGAGGCCTGGACAGGACAGGGGACTAAGGCGGTGTATCTGAGGAAGAAATCCCAAACCGGATGGTGAGCCATCTTGGGGACAGCCATGCCACACCCTGCTGCAGCCTCCACCTCCCCTGGCTGTCACTAGATGTGTAGCAGGTGTGAGAGGACAGATAAATAATAACAATACTTAACATTCAACAAGGCCCTGTAGCTGGTACTTTATGTGCATTCACTGATTTAATTATTGCAGCAATCCTATGAGATAGCTGTTATTGTTATCCCATTTTACAGATGAGGAAAATAAGAAGGGAAAAGTTTAGATAACCCAAGATCCACAACTTTCAAAGATATGGAGCAGTAAATGATTCTACCCAAGCAGTTAGAAGTCCTGTGGTTAACCTCTCAGCAGTCCTGCCTCTTGGATATACCAGTAGCTCCCATGAAGGGGAGAAGCCCCTTACTGGAGTCACTCACCCCACACCTGGGAGCACAGCACAGGCTCCAGAGGTGGTGGGGGCGTCGTGAGATGTTGGGAGCTGCAGAGCAGAGCCCCTTAACACAGTCTGTCCCTACAAGGAGCTCTCTGTCAGGGCAGGAACCTCCACAAACCCTGCCTATTTCCTTCAGGCAGGTCATAGGGGCCTGCAGAGGCCCCCCCCCCAGAGAATAGTGCAGGGTGAATGAATGGCAAAGGAGGTCCTCTTGGCTTCTGGCTTTGATAGCTGTGTTCCTCCCACCCAGGCCTCTTTGCTGAGCTCTAACTTGTGGAGCCCACAGCTTCTTGGATCTTCACAGGGGCCTCTCACTAGGCATTTAAAACCCTTGTCCTCCCCCAACATGCCCCTCCTGCCCCACCTCTCTCAGCTCCCAGCTCCTGAAGCCCCAACAGTACCTCAGCAAGAAACCTGATACCTTGGTCCCTCCTCCCAAGTCCAGTCAGCCACCAATCTGGTTGATTGAACCAGTGAATCATCTGTTGAATCCATCCATTAGCCCCATCCCCACTGCACTTACTGTGTGCAGGGTACTATGTCATTTTACAGACATCATCTTTCAATCCTCAGAATAATCCCTTTATTTGCAGTGAGGACCCCGAGGCACAGAGAGGTGGAGCTTGCCCAAGGTCACAAGCCGAGTTCCGGAGGGCCGGACTCAGGCAATTTGACTGTACACTGTTAACCATTATTTTTACTGCCTCCCTGATCACCACTCTCAACCTTGCCTTCCTTAGTCTTTCCTATATACTGCCACAAGAATCTTTAATCCATTCAATATTTATTGTAAATGCCAGGAACTCTGCTATAAACTGGAGATCTAAAACTGAGCAGATACTGGGCTTCAGGACCACCGAGTCCAGTGGAATTTTCTTTTGTCTCCCTAACACACTCATCTACCCAGCACAGCATCTGGCATAAAGTAGGTGTTTAACCATTACCAGGAGAAGTGGAAGGAAGGGGAACTACAGCAGGTCAGCTGGTGCCTGCTAAGGGCCTACACCCCACGCAGGTGGAAGGGAGAGGGGCCAGTTTCCGAGTTCATTTTGGGGGAGTTTTGTCCCATCTCCCTCCCTCCATGCTGCTTCCTTGTCTCCTACTGTCCTCTCCTGTCCCACGCTGCAGTTTGCTCATGGGGCAAGGCTCTCACATTTGAAGGTGGTGGGATGGAGAGTGGGATGTTGGAGGAAGTCTTAGCCAACAAGCTTCCCGCGGAGCTGCAGAAAGGGGCCGCTTGGAGACCAGAGGCGGAAGGGCTGTGCCTGGCACCTTGGACTGCCCGGCCTCCCTCAGCCTCCCTGGGATTCCGCCTCAGCCATGGTCCATGACAGGGGAAAGGAACTGAGAACTGAGCCCAGGACCCTCACATGGGCTCTACCTCCTGTCTCTGGAAGGTTTAAAGTCCTCCCATGCATGTCCTGGCTCCTTCCCCCAAGGGTGGTTCCGGCTCACTTCCCCGGTCTCCCCTCTGCCCGTTCCTGGGGTGGGAGGCAGAGGCAGGAAGCTGGAAGGTGGATGGCACTGAGCCAGACCTTCCCAGGGCTAGCAGGTCACAGCCAGTTGCTCACAAGCCACTTACGAAAATGGTGAAGAGGGGAGGTCGAAAAGAGATGGACTCCTGCCTTCTCCAGGTGTTGGGGGGCAGGTGGGGAGGCAAGCTGGAGGGATGTGCTTGAGGGCTGGGGGCCAGCAGGGAGCCGACCAAGGCAAGAGCAGGGGCCCCACGTTTTCCTGGAGGCTCGTGTTTCTGGCTGGTGCTCAAGGCACCCACGTGTGGCGGGGCAAGGACACGATCACTGCAGAGCCCTGTGGTGGTGAAGGTGGCGGTGGCTGGGGGGCAGGAGAGGCCGGCAGAGCCACAGAGAAGGCAGGGCAGGACTGCAGCTGCCAGAGGCAGGGGAACAGGCCTGCCCGCCAGGCAGATTTGGTGTTACATGAATGTACATAAATTAGCAGCTGCCTTCTTGCCCCAGCTTCTGTTTCTCAAGGTTGTGCGTGCGTGCATGCATGTATATGTTCTGAATATCTAGGAGTCGCTACATGTGACCTTGAGTGACAGGGCTCTGCAGGGGCGGCTCCTGACCAGTGTGGCCACTGTTGCTCTCCTTTTCCTTCACTCCTGCTCTGCCCTACTAGAGCGGTCTGCCCTGGCCTTTACCCTGACCTACACGCCACCCCAGCCTCCACCCGGGACCAGCCACCACCTCCCTCTGCCCGCCATTCCCAGCCTCCCTGAAACCTTAGTCCTGACCACTCTGATCTTCCCGTCCATTCTGGGCCCACAGACTTAGTTCAGGACTGAAATGCTGCACTCATTTTG